TCCGTCTTGTCTCCTTTTTTTGCACGGGACACAGGATGCAGAGGTTCCAATCATTGGGCATGCATTCCTCTAGCCAAATTGTACCAATCAACTGGTGCATGCTCCTGACCATCATCTGACCACCAGTCTTGAATAGTTCGGCTGGTAACCCTCCGGCTACTGCTGCTTTATTGTTCTTGAGCCGATTAATTGATTTTATGACCTCATCTTGGCTAGATGATATACACTCTATACCATCATCTCTTATTGGTTCTGGGCTATCCTCTTCACCTCTTCTATTTGATACCAGAAGCATTTCAAAATGCTCTTTCCAGATCCTCAACACGCTGTCTGTATATGTCACCAGGTTTCCATCTTCATCTCATCTCACATTACGTGTTGCTACTGTCTGCAGGGTTGCCCTATACGCTGCGTTTTTCACAGTAGCATTACGACACTCCTGATCGTATCATGGGTTTCTTGGTGGTGGTTTTTGGTACCCAAGTGTTGCTTTTGCTGCAATATGTAGGTAGTGGGCAATTTTTTGTCATTGTGCTTCTATACTATTATCGGGACAAGAAGTGCTTTCGTCAAACAGGTGGGTAAGTTGAGCGGAGTAGGCCTCGGCTACCTGTTGTGTTTCCAGATTTTCGACGTCGAGTTTTCGTGTTGTGTTAGATCGGACCTTTGCTGCGACCACTACCTTGTAGCAGCCAAGGTTCGCTGCTACAAGGTAGTGGCCCGAATCGATATTCGTCCCCCGGATCGATCGAACGTCTAATACACTGGATGAATGCCTTCCGTCTATCACAACATGATCAATTTGATTTCTCGTTGCTAGATCAGGAGAAATCCAGGTGACCTTGTGTATATCGAGATGCTTGTATCTGGTGCTGCTAAGTACCATGTTTTTTGCTGCCGCGAAGTCAATCAACCTCAATCGCTCGATTATTAGAAAATATTTTCTCTTGGATCAACAGGCTCTAAGACATGGATTTTTAAAGAATATTTTCTCGAGGATAATTTGGCCTTAAAGCCTGTTTTTGTTTTTCAATAAAAAAATATTATTACTTATATTTTCATTATTAATAACCACGTCATTATATTTAACATCATTCTGAGATCTCATCAAGAACAAACATACACACATACAAATATTATTCCTTTTTTTACATATCGATTACTTTCAAACCACATTTCGTGGTCACGAACATTTTCTTCATTTTTTTGCTTCCCAATATATTTTTGTACGGGAAGATGTATGACCATGACACGTGCTGTTGACTTCTTATCCTCCTGTGGTTAGTTTGTTTTCAATATATTTTTCTTTTTTTGCAAAACAAATTATTTATGAAAATTATTTGTTCTTAGGAAATTGTTTTAAATTACATTTCGCCTCTCTGTTGAAATAATGAATGAATGTATGTAGGTTTTATGAATGAATTTTGTTATTATGTGTTGTTGTCTGATGTTAAGACACGAAATGCATTTAGGATAATGTAGAAAATTTGAAAAAAATATATAAAATTGGGAAATTTGGAATATGTTCCTTGCTCTTTCAATGTAATAAAAATTATTAAATTAAAAAATTTAAATTAATAATTTAATTTTTTAATTTCTTTAGTATTAACACGTTGGCTGTGGTGAATCCTTTAGCATTCATCGCTTATGTTTTCAATATTTTTTTATGAAATCTATTTTTTTAATCTGCTATCATCATAATTGTAAATCTTTTGCTACATTTAACACAAATCACGTAAACAAAACTAAAAATATCCTTTGAAAAGTGTTGCGTGTTTTTATTTTTAAAACAAACTAAGGAAACAGGATTCCTCTTTTCTGCATTTTTTAAACACTTCCTCTTTCCGTTGACCCTAACCACAAATTTCCTTGATTTGGCAAACAAACAGCGAATCGCCAATAAACGAAGCTATGACAACAGCAACATCGGTTCTGTGTATTTGTTTAACCCACTTAAATTTGATGAAATTGTCACGTAATTGGGATCTCAATCGAAAGTAGGAAGTAGCGGCGTTGACAAACTAAAGGTATTACTAATCTGGCATAGTAATAAACAGCAGCAGAATTGCTAAGCTATTTAAAGTTGGTCAAGGTTATGATGTGGAAAAAAAGCTACATCCTGGAATATGAAGAAAAATAAGTGAGAAAATATGGCTGACGTAAAATCTGAAATTACATAAATTTTCAGAGGCGTGGATTTTTTAAAGAATATTTTTTCAAGGGCTGTCAGAGGCTTGGCCTATCAGGCGTGGATTTTTTAAAGAATTTAAGGTTTTTCAAAAATTTGCATTTAAAAAAATTCAAATTTCAATTTTGGTTAACAGGAGAATAAAAGGCCTCGTCCCCAGATTCATTCCAGTAGATGAGCGAATTGCTATAATCCGCATAAAAGCGAAGTTTTTCTACATCAGTTTTATTTGCGCCCATGCTCCGACCGAAGACAAAGATGAGCAGACCAAAGAAATATTTTATGAGCGCCTAGAAACAGCATATGACCGCTGCCCTGGTCATGACATTAAAATTCTGCTAGGAGATTTTAATGCAAAAATCGGAATGAAGAAACATCCGACAACGGCATGAAGTTGATTGACTTCGCAGCAGCAAAAAACATGGTAGTTAGCAGCGCCAGATTCTAGCATCTCGATATACACAAGGACACCTGGATTTCTCCTGATCAAATAACGAAAAATCAAATTGATAATGTTGTGATAGACGGAAGGCATTCATCCAGTGTATTAGACGTTCGATCGATCCGAGGAGCGAATATCGATTCGGACCACTACCTTGTAGCAGCCAAGTTTCGCTCTCGTCTTAATGTTGCAGCAAAGGTGCGATCTAAGACAACACGGAAACTTGACGTCGAAAAGCTCCAAACGCCCAGGCCTACTCCGTTCAACTTACCTGCTTGCACTTCTGCACTTCTTATCCCGATAATAGTATGCAAGCACAATGGCAAAGAATTGCCCACTCCCTACTAACTGCAGCAAAAGCAACACATGGGTACAAAATCCACCACCGACAAACCCATGGTACGATCAGGAGTGTTGTAATGCTACTGATGTGAAAAACGCAGCGTACAGGGTAACCCTGCAGAGAGTAGCAACACGTAATGTGATGGAGAATTATCGGGAGAAAAGGAGGGAGGAGAAGCGTGTTTTCAGAAAAAAGAAGAAATAACAAGAAAAACGTTAGCGTGAGCAAATCGAGATGTACAGGAGTCAGAATGAAGTCCGGAAATTTTACCAACGAGTAAAACACCAAATCGAAGGTTTTTTTTGCAGGCACATCCTCCTGTAGATATGAAGAAGGAAACCTGGTGACATATACAGACAGCGTGTTGAGGATCTGGAAAGAGCATTTTGAAAAGCTTCTAGTATCAAATAGAGGTGTTGAAGAAGATACCCCAGAACCAGGTATAGATGACATTATTGGACCATACCAATGCGGCTTCAGAACTGGCAAATCCACCATTGACCAGATTTTCACTCTGCGCCAAATCCTGGAAAAGACCCACGAAAAACACATCGACACATACCACCTATTTGTCGACAGCCCTATCCGTTCAGAGGTGTTTAAAGCCATATCTACGTTCGGCATTCCTGCAAAATTAATACGGCTATGCAGGATAACTTTGAATGGCACAAGGAGCCCTACAATACCGAACAAGGATTCAGAAAAGGTGACAGTTTGTCGTGTGATCTTTTTAACATCCTGCTGGAAAAGGTCATACGAAACGCAAAGGTGAATAGGAATGACACTATGTACACCAAACAACACATGTTACTCGCCTACGTCGATGACATCGATATAAAGGGTCGATCATTGCGAGCGGTAACAGCCACCTTTGAACAACTTGAGAAGGAGTCTGCCAAAGTGGGTCTGGCAGTAAACGGCGAAAAGACCAAGCTGATGGTATCAACGCGCAAGACGTCCAGTAGATTCGGACCAACTGTGGAACTTGAGCTTCGAGATAGTTAAAGATTTTATATACCTTGGTACCGTCATAAATAAAACGAATGACATCAGTTTTGAAATTCGGAGAAGGATTGTGATGGCCAACAGATGCTAATATGGTCTAAGTAATCAGTTTAGAAACAAGGAACCTACCGCCAGATCAAACTCACACTTTACAAAACGCTGATACTACCCGTGCTGTTATATGGATCTGAAGCATAGGTACTTGCGCAAGCAGATGAGGTAGCTCTTGAGGTGTTTGAAAGAAAAATTCTCCGAAAGATCTACGGGCCGATCTGCGTCGAATGAAATTTTTTTTTAAATCTTATCAGAAGCGTGGATTTTTTTAAAGAAAATTTTTTGACATAAGACCTTTTAGGGACCTGGATTTTTTAAAATAATATTTTTTCAACGACCATCTGAGGCGTGGATTTTTTAAAGAACTTTTTTTCAATGCCTATCCGAGACGTGGATTTTTAAAGAATATTTTTTCAAGGTCTATCAGAGGCTGAGATTTTTTAAAGATTATTTTTTCAAGGCCTATCAGAGACGTGGATTTTTAAAAGAATAATTGTCAAGGCTTTTTAAGGCGGGGCATTTTTAAAGAATTTGGACAGTATATTTGACGATGCCTTTAAGTTTTTTTTTCAATGTGTTAATTTTTGGACATTTATACACTAGAAACTGTATTTGAGTTTCATCTCTATATGCCTAAACATCTGCCTATTTTTTGTTCTTCACTCATTTCCCCCCATGAAATTAAATGTGTCTAATGTAGATATAAAATTTTATTGCGACTATTCTTAAATACGAGTATAACACATGCACTTGTCCGTTAGTATATAGAATAAAATGACTTCATAAAAATTGAACTAGAATAAAACAAACAAAGAAAAAGATGACAACTAAACGTAATCCTAAAAAAAAGAAAATTTGAAAGTAGTTTAAAGAGAATTTGAAAAAATTAATAATCGAGTTAAGGATACTACAAATATCGATTGGCAAAATGAAAATAATATCATGAAAAAAATTATTTGGTATTTTGTCTACAAGTTCATAGCTTTCTTAATATAATTAATAACAGTCTGATGCTCTAAAATGCCCATGTGGTCAACACCGCTAAGGGCCATGGTTGATACATTTGCCGATTGATAGCCATTCCAATAGTTGCAGGCACGCAAGGAACGTCTGTTGACAGTGCCATCACCCATACCCATAATTAGTTTGGGTGTCTCACCAGCAATGTCATCTTTTTTGTATTCAAGCCTAATGAGAAAGGAAGAAATAATTATCGAACGTATGGTTTTATGTTATCTATTTCAACTAACCTCTCCACAGTGTCCAAACCATCACCATATAAACAATGTAACTCCACACCTGGAGCACCGAAATTAAGTGTGTAATGCAGGGTATCTTTGCGCATTTCCCAACCCGTACGATAATCAATGTCATCAAAAAATTGCTCCAATTGGGCCATGGTATACACGCGAGAGGGAGTTTTTACCAAAACTTCATTGCTTTTCCAGAATAGGGGAGATGGCAATAACCATGCCGTTGAGGGATTTGTAATTTGTTCTGCTCTTAGAATTTTACCACTCAAAAAGAATGAATCTAAATCATCGCCCATGGCAAAGACTTTCAATGCCTTAACACTGCCAGCCCAGGCACCGGCCAAACTAATTTGTCGTGCCACATATTTATTCTTCCACTCCAATGTTTGTTGCTGCAAAAAGACCAAGGTCATCGGACTGCCCATACTGTGTGTTATAAATGTTATGGGCGTCTGTTCATTCTGTTCATATGTGTCCTCAACCAATTTCTTGAGATCAATGAAATATTGTTTATGTTCATCTGGAAAGAAAATGAGGAAAACAAATGGTTTATTTTTCTTTAAAACAAATTATTCCATTCATCACTTACTTGGTGCCTTGCGGAAATCATAGGGTGCTCCTCGTATATTTTTATTCCTAACATAACCATGATCAGCGAGCATATTTGCCAAAGTCCTAAAATAGGCTCCCGCCTTATTATGCGTGGGGTCAATCCATTCCACCACTTCGGGGTTACCCCATCCTGGTATGCGTATATCCACACCGGGAGTATTGTGGGTAGTCCTTGTCACATTGTCATAGTAGAGTTTAACATTATCCACCCAACAGTAGACGGCAGGTATCACAATCAGTTCCAAATTTAACCACAAATTAAACCAATCCGATTGTTTGGCACACAATATATTTGGCGAGGAAGATTTATTTAGACGTGCTTCAACTTGACTGCCACCATCGCCGGGAACTGGAATTTTTTGTTGGTAATTTTTTATTATTTGTATTTTTTAATTTAAAAAACACTTACACTAGGTGAACTTATAAACTAATGGGGTTTTTAGATGATGATGATGATGAGTTAATTCTTGAGCACATACCTCGGAAAGGGATGAATTATAATCATATTACAGACTACTATGGTGTCCAAAATTCTCAAACATTTGAAAAATAGAAGGAACTGTTATATGGGGCCTATACCTAATATTGGACCTATATTCAAAAATCCACGCCTCTGATAGGCCTTGAAAAAATATTCTTTCAAAAATCTACGGCTCTGATAGGCATTGAAAAATATTCTTTCAAAAATCTACGGCTCTGATAGGCATTGAAAAAATATTCTTTCAAAAATCCACGCCTCTGATAGGCCTTGAAAATTAACCTTTCAAAAATCCACGGCCTTAAAAAAATATTCTTTCAAAAATCCACGGCTCTGATAGGCCTTGAAAAAAATGCATTAAAAAATCCTAGCCTCTGATAGGCCTTGAAAAAATCATTAAAAATCCACGGCTCTGATAGGCTTTTGAAAATAGTCATAAAAATTCCAGGCCTCTGATAGACCTTAATAAAAAAATTTACGCCACTGATAGGCATTGAAAAAATATTCTTTAAAAAATCCGCGCCACTGATAGGTGTTGAAAAAATATTTTTTAAAAAATCCGCGCCACTGATAGGTGTTGAAAAAATATTTTTTAAAAAACCCACGCCTCTTATTTAGCTGTCTTGTGAAAGAACTTTCGTTTCATAAGCCGAGCTTAAAAAGATTTCGGCCCATAGACCTTTCGGAGAATTTTTCTCTCAAACAGTCCAAGAGCTGCCTCATCTGCTTGCTCAAGTACGCAAGTTCTGATCCATATAACATCACGGGTAGTATCAGCCTTGTTTGCTCAGAACATAGCAGCATCTGTAGGCCATCACTATACTTCTCCGAATTTCAAAACTAGTCTACTAGACGTCTTGCGCGTTGATACCATCAGCTTGGTCTTCTCGCCGTATACTGCCAGACCCACTTTGACAGACTCCGTCTTAATTTGTTCAATGGTGGCTGTTACCGCTCTCAATGTTCGACCCATTATGTCGATGTCGTCGGCGTAGGCGAGTAACATGTGTTGTTTGTTCACTATCACCTTGTTCTGTTCACTATCACCTTGTCTGAATCCTCGTTCGGTATTGAAGGGCTCCGAGAGGTCCTTTCCGACTTTAACTGCTGGCCTAGTGCCACGTAAAGTTATCCTGCATAGCCGAATTAATTTTGCAGGAATGGCAAACTCAGACATGGCTTTAAACGCCTCTGAACGGATAGGGCTGTCGAATGCGGCTTTATAGTGGACGAATAGGTGGAATGTTTCCATATGTTTTTCGAGGGCTTTTTTCCATGATTTGGCGCAGATTGAACATCTGGTCAATGGTGGAATGGAAAATCTGGTTGACAGGTCTGAAGCCGCATTGGTATGGTCCAATAATGCCATTGACCATTGGCTTCAGTCGTACGCTGGATAGCACTTTATATGCGATGGGAAGGAGTCTTATTCCTCTATAGTTGGCACATATCGTCTTGTCTCCTTTTTTGTGCACGGGGCACAGTATGCTGAGGTTCCAATCATTGAACAAGCATTCTTCTAGCCAAATTGTACTAATCAGCTGATGCATGCTCCTTACCAGCATCTGACCACCAGTCTTGAATAGATCGGCTTGTAACCCATCGGCACCTGCTGCTTTATTATTCTTCAGCCTATTGATTGCTATTCTGACTTCATCTTGGCTAGGTGGTATGCACTCCATACCTATTATTGGTTCTGAGGTATCCTCTTCACTGCTACTATTTGATACCCGAAGTTTTTCAAAATGCTCCTTCCAGATCCTCAGCACGCTGTCTGTATCTGTCACCAGGTTTCCTTCTTCATATCTATAGGAGGATGTGCCTGCACCAAAGCCTTTGGTTTGGTGTGTACGCCTTATGTAGGCCTTGAAAAAATATTCTTTAAAAATACACGTTTGGTAGGTTTGGAAAAATATTCTATAAAAAATCTACGCCTTTGGTAGGCTTGGAAAAATATTCTTTAATAAATCCACTCCTACAAATAGTACTTGAATATTTCAACTAAATATTTAATAAGGAAAACCAGTAGTAATTTTAATAAAAATATTCAATATTTACATAAAATTTTCAACTCGTGACCCTATCATTATCATGTTCCTGAACATATTTTTGTTTGTTTTGCGGAAATATAATAACACAATAAAATAAATGGCATGATCTGTAACGTGAGTATATTTACAATATATCACATTACACTCAATAGCATACGATATTCAACCACCCACAAAAGAAAGTACATCATTATGCATATTCCTTTTTTTATGAATGAATTGAATGAATCATTTCGAATACAACAACAAAAGTAACATAGAGTATCCAATGACCACCAATGCAAATCAATTCAAAACTTTAAATATATATCTCACACATAAAACCCCCTTGAATTTGTTTTTGGTCTCCCACATAAAGCCCCGACAAATACGCACATACATGGTATTGTATATAAATATAATATTCTATTCTTCGATGATAACAATAATAATACCCGTTGAAAATAATGACGACGACGATAATGATTATTTTACAATAACAATTTTTAAGCTGGGTTGTTAATGCAGCAGCAGCAAAAACGTATCAGAATGCTATTGGCTGCGTAATGAATGTCAAGAAAACTGATAGTGATAAGAATAAAACAGTTTTCTTTAATGTTTTGCCTCCTATTTATTTGTCATAGGCAAATATGATTGATTAACGAAAAGTATTAAATTACGGGGAAAAGATTTAAGGGATTTTTTATTTAAAATAGAAATGTTCTAAATTGGGCAAAAATGTGAGTAATTTGGTCGCCAACATTAATTAGTGTTTCATAATTTTTGAAATTAGAAACATACGTTACCCAATAACTATGACAAATAAATTATATGTGAGGTATTCAATTCAAATGGGACTTTAGGAAAATAATTGTATATGGTCTGTTCCACGTACAGCAAGAATCTACTATTTTTCGATATCTCAAAGGAAAAATTATTATCGTAGTAATATTTTGTACATACTTGTGGGTTCGGGAACAAGCATATAATTACTAGTTACAATTTAAAACTTAAACGTACGTAACATAATGTTGTCGGTTTGCAAATACGGCACTTACTTCCGCGCTTTTCTCTCTTAGTATATAATTTCAGGATGATCACAATGGAAATCGGGCTTCTGATGTTATTGTTGCCTACAAAAAATTCAAAGTTGCCAAAGCTTCGCCAATGCCGAAAAAGGTAATTTGCGCCAACTGTAGGTGGAGACTCGGGTCGTTTCAGAAAGTAAACCCCTCTGTCGTGGAAAGCATTGGTTATGATTGTTCGGCTACATTAACGGGTTTAAACTAAATATGATTTAGTATGTGTTGGATGGACTTGAACCTAATATAAGAAAATATCCTGAACGTTGTCATCCCTTTGCATACATCATTTATTTTGAAACCATCCTGAACACGCCTAAGTAGAAATAAAAATCGGGATCTTCACATGCAATTCAATCATATTAATTTCTATTGCAGTCATCCAGGAAGGCATTTTTCTCAATAGCCGACCGACCTATTGTATTTTAACCTAATGTGATGAATTAATATGATAAGGCATGGGTGGCTCTAAGTGCAAGACGACTTTGCTTTGACGAATTGCGGTCCACATTTGTCCGACATTTTTGGGATATAGATGGACAAATTGATGATTATTATTTCCTGTTCTCTTATTTTTATGTGGTGTAGAAACAATTCAAAAAGGTTCACTTTGTTGAATGTTGATCGTCTACACTTTTTCTAAACCTATTAAAAATATAAAATGTAGTCTATCATAATGAGTGGTCATATATTGTGAGTGAACTGACAATCTTTATTTTCGAAAGAAAAAATGAATGAAAATTATCATGTCTAAAGATTGTATCCAATCGGTTAACTCATCAAATCCACTCCAAATTGTCTGAAACGGATTTAGTCCAGGTAGCTTTTATTGTGAATTTTTACAACAAAAAACGGTAATACAAAACTGATGGTCTGTTTTTCTATTTTCTTCGATATCATAAAGAAAAATTCTTTATCGTAGTAAAAAGGAGTAGATTCTTGCAGTACGGGAACAGACCATGAATAATCTCAGGTTATTGAATAGTGCTTTGGCCTTTTTTTGGGCTTAATGTTGTTTGTTGGACGAGTAATCATTACCACATGAAATGACGCGTGACTTATGTACGGTATTATATAGAAATTTTGAAAATTATTTGGAAAGTCTGGACTTTCCATAATTATTGATAAAGAAAACCCCTTTTATTAAATTAATTTGAAATCAGTTGGAAAAAAGTATCCAAAATACTAAATAGCCGAACTTTCGGAATCTTTGTATATCCCGCAATGATCACCCTAGGAGAACAAAAAGGGGCCCATAATCCCCTAAAATATTGGGAGGTAATCATTATATGGTAGACTAATATTGACTTTTTTAATTATTGCTACCCAATTATAATTCAAAATAGCCAACATCCCAAAATACAGAGTGGAAGTTATCCTAAAAAAGGAACAAAATTTATAATTTTTGTAGAAATATTTGCTAATCAATTAGAAATCAAAATATTAAATTAAAGCCACTTTGGAAATTTTAGGGTACCGTTATATGGGGGATATCCAAAAAAGGTAATCCATATCGATAATTTTTGCTTAGACGATTTGCTACGTAATGGGAACTTAAGGGAACTTTTTTTGTTTTAATTCGAATCTACACTAATTCAAGAATGTCCCTACAAAGTTTCAAGTGAAAATCTCAAGAACTCTTTAAGATATAGCCGATTTATTGTGTCAGCATCAAGTGTCGAACTTTAAACGCGTTTTTCTCTTTTGCGAATGGCGGGCACGATAACTCAAAAACTGATAACCCAATCGATACCAAATTTTTACACGTTTCTCTGTGAGTATATAGCTATCGTATGAACTAGGATAAAGCCAATCCATGAAGATCTTCCTTATTTTTTAACTTAGTTTGTGGTCAAAAATCGCCGATTTTCCAAAAATATTTTTTCAAAGGTCCGCCATTTTGTTAATTGTTGTGCGAAGTCAATAATCCTAGTTCATACGAGAGCCAGACATGTACTCTTTCTAACACCGTTGGAATTTTCGGATTCCGATGTTCCAGGGAGGAGTTATCATGCCTGCCATAAAAAATAAGGACTTTTCTTTGATCACAAAAAAAGAACAACAAAATTTTTTTGTAAATTATTTTTCTTCTCTTTTAAATCTTTAAATATATTTACAAACCTTAACAAGCATTGGTATTGATATACCAGCCCATTGAAAATCTTGAAAAATTAAAATCGAGAATGGGGGGTTTCCTTAAAGTACGAAATTACAATCAACTCTGTTAAAATAATTGCCTAAAATCCCCAAAAAGTCGAATATCTGCAGGTTCTGTTTTATGTATCGTTTACATACAATAGGACAAATTTATGTAAACCACAGTGTAAAGCACCCGTTCGAAATATATATGGAAGTGCAAGATTTCATGTTATTCGAATAAACATTAGTAGTTTGGTGCACAATTTATATAAAATCGAACGAAAATATATATGGGAGCTATAACAAAATCTGAATAGATTTTCACGAAACTTAGCACACAACATTCCAGACTCAGTTCAGTACGCTATGCCAATTTTCGTACAAATCGAGAGATATATAAGGACTTTTGTGCACCACATAAATAAAATCGGACGAAAATATATATATGGGAGCTATATCTAAGTTTGAAGCGGTTCTCACCAATTTCAATAGGGTTCGTCCTTGAGCCAAATAAGTAGGATGTGCCAAATGTCATCCCATTCGGAACATAAATGGGAACTGTACCTTATTTACAATTTAACATTGACAGATAGACGGACGAGCATGCATGAATCGACGAAAGTGATTAAATGCATATTTTTAAAAAGAACCATGGCTCTATCTCGTTTTATTTTGCCTGTTACAGCATATGCACAAATACATACATAATACCCTGTGTGGTGAAGGGTATAGTTTATATGACAGTCACTCATTGTCTGGGTAATTAAACTCTGGACTAGTACCTCACATATGATTGTGCTGAAAAATACTGATTCGATTCATAAAATTCTATTCATGCTAATTACTTTTCAATATTCCATATTTTGTGATTTTTTGTGACATTCGCAAATTTAAAATTTCCCCAAAATAATTGATATAATCATAAAAATGATATGGCTCGCCAAATGATATGAACGTTGTTGTTGTTATAAAAATAAGTAGACAAATTAATACAAAAAATAAATTCAGAATATCTTTTCAAATGACTTACCAAAAATTACTGGAGATAGACGTTTTTTAACAATGGGAGGAGGCGTAGGATGGGATTTCTTTTTGTTAAATGGCCACCAAGCTTGTCCCGCATGTAGTGTAGCCAGCAAAACGATTAGCAGCAGCAAATAATGGCGCATCCTTGTCGCTCCGTCTCGACAAGAAGAAGAAGTAGAAGAAGGAAGTCACAAGATTCGATTTAGGAACACAACGTTTTATTGATTGACGACTAGGTTACTTTGATGATATGAAGAGATCGTTGAATGTCTAAATTTTGCTTTTAGAATAATTTGGAAATGCACACAATTGTCGGGAGTCACCTTCTTTTTTATTCTATTTGCTTTGATTGCGTTTGGGTAGGTAACCAACAAAAGAATAAAAAAAATATGCACAATCGTCCAATAACAACAAAACACTTATCACCGTAAACAAAGAAGAAGAAAAAACAAAACGAATCAAAACAACTTTGGACAACACTTCTGCGTACGTTCAGGTTTCGTTATTAAATGAGCAAATTGCTAGTCTACTGTTGTTATTGTTGTCGTCGTTGTCGCAAATCAAAACATTTATTTCGCACTGAATTAATTAACTTGGCTACCAGCTTCGAAGTAAACAAAATAACTTTATCTCACTTGGAGGTGGTTAACAGTCGATGGCATCTTCGATTACTTGAGTGTGCATTTATCGAAATAAACTGCTATCGATACTATCGAGTTCTATTTTTAATTTTAACTGATTTTTTTATATTATTTTTAAGAAAAATATTATTTTTTTAAATTAAATCCGTAATAAAAATATATTTTTAATTCATAAAAACAGGAAGTAGAAGAAGTTAAAGACTACACCTCGAAGTATTTATTTCCGACCCAATAAAATCTACATATTCTTGATCAGAATAAAATTCTATGACGAAGTGTGTATGCATGTCCGTCTGTTGATATTTAAGAAAGAGCCTTGATATTTTGTATATACATTTTTACTACTACTAAGATGTTTGGTATTGAAAATGGGATATATAAACTAGCGGCCAAAACTGACAGTTTTTCAAAAATAAATAGGCAATTTATTCACTTTTAAAAACACACAATTTATTTTAAAATAACAAAAATCTGCGGCTTGGTCAAAAATAAAACAACTATTAGAATTTTTCTTTTAAATAAGTAAATTTACCAAGTAATCGACATCTTAAGCATTATTTTTGATTGCGGCAGCACACCAACGAGGAATTGATTCTATAGCTCGCTCAATTTGTTCCTTGGATATACTATTCCTCTCATCCTGAACCTTTAGGAAGAGTTTATGTTTTTACTCCTGAATCTATTTTGATTTTGCTATCATGATACTCCAAAGATTTTTCCATGGAGTAAAGATCTGATAATCTGTGTTGGCCCTTATAAAGCCCTGATTTTCGACCCCTGCAACCAATCTTTGATATGTTACGGTGTATGTTTCAGGTTATTGTCAAACAATCGTTACCTTTTTTCAGCGGGGGGAATTAAAGCCTTTTAACACATTTATATAATCAATCCGACCAATTACTTCATAAATATCGTAAATAGATCGAAGTCCATTAAAAGAAAAATAGCCCAATACCATTATTGATCTACCGCCATGCGTCCCGGTACCCTGTCAATATTGAAGCTTGAGACTTTAATTTTTTGGATCATCTCATGACATAATTTTTATCCACTATGTCAGATTCCAATGAGCATGAGCTTTTGCGAAAGCTAATCTGGCCTTCCGATTTTTCAGAAATAATAGGGCTTTCTTGATGGTAGAGTTGGGTAGTTCCGGAACGAACTAGTTCATTGGAACTATTCCGAGAAAGGAACGATTGGAACTAGTTCCAGCTCTTTAATCAATGTAGTTCCTTTTTGGATCTCGTTCCTTTTTTTGATCTCGTTCCTTTTTTGATCTCGTTCCTTTTTTTGATCTCGTTCCTTTTTTGATCTCGTTCGTTTTTTTGATCTCGTTCCTTCATTCACATACTCTTCGTTTTTGTCTCTTTCATTTTTCAGATGCTGCCACATTGTTTAAGAAAGGTACGCTGCCATACTATGATGTGAACAAAATGGCACGCTCGTCAATTTATTGGACGTTACAGATTAATGACGTAGATAAATAAAATGCCGTTGAATGCATGGCTGAATAATTAATAAAAGAATAATTGATAAAATAATGTATAAAAATATACTCAATAAATCGTAAACAAAATATGTTTTATTTATTTTTCTGAATATATTTTATTTATTTTTATGTTTTATTTATTTTTCTGAATACTGATACGATTGAATTTGACGTTTAAATGCCTTACGTCCTTTTCAACGTTTTCATTTTGTCTAATAGTAAAATAGATGCCACTGTACAAAAAAATACCAACGCTGTTAACTCGTTATTTTATTTACTTGTTTGCAAATTTAAAAACGAATAAGAAGTACATAAGAAGTTCAGCGTCCACAATTTTAACTCAGTTAAAAAGAAAAACTTTTATATAAAAAACTAATATTTAATATTGATACCACAGGTTATTATACAAAACATGGATTAAAAAGTGAATTTTTGAGTATTATTTCATTAACGCCGTTTAACAAAAATAACGAATTGGTGACGAAGTGTAACGTCTTCGTCATTAAGATGGAAAATAACGACATAATTCATTTTTATTGTTTCTTCACAAGTCTGATTAGAAATTTAATTTTTTATAAATAATTTCAGGAAGTTTTTATTAAAATCATGTCAAAAAAATCAAAGACGAGTTCAGTTTGGCTTCACTATGATGAAGATGGCCCAATGAGAGCTAAATGCAAATATTGCAAAACATCAATTAGCATTGCGTCAGGGTCACTTGGAAATTTGAGCCGACATATTAGCAGGAAGCATCCGTTTATACCCACTATAATGGAAAGGCAAAAACCGGACGAAGCTCTGCATATCGAAATAAATGATGTAGAAATCCTTTCAGATCAACCGTCAACTAGTGCCGCCGCACAAGTACGGAATCCGCAACAGCACATAACCCAATATGTTCAACGGCCTCCACCAATACGCAAAGTTGAAAAAATTGACCGCCAAGTGCTGAAAATGATTGCTAAAGGACATCACGCATTCAGAATTGTTGAGGAGCCAGAGTTCAGACAACTTATAAGTTTGGTTTCACAATGTCCGAACTACACCTTGCCATCGAGAAAAACATTGTCCAATAACCTGCTCGATAGCACATACTCTGAAATTTTGGAAGTGGTTAGAAGTCAAATCCAGTCCTCATTAGCTGTATGCCTAACTACAGACGGCTGGACTTCTAGAACGAATTGTTCTTATTTAGCAATTTCTGCGCATTATATTGATAAAGACGAACTGAAATCAAATTTACTATCGTGCGTAGAATTTTCCGAAAGACACACCGCTGAAAATATTTCAACTGCTATAAAGGAGGTCACAAATGAATTTGGAATATATAATAAAATATCAGCCGTTGTAACTGATAATGCAGCGAATGTGTCTGCCGCTGTAAGAATTTTGAATTGGCGTTGGGTCGGATGTTTTGCACACTCCTTAAATCTAGTTGTAAAAAATGCATTATCAAATATACTAGATATATTGATAAGAGTGCGCAATGTCGTTACATATTTCCACAAAAGCCCCAATGCCTTAAAAAAATTGTCGGATGCGCAAAAGGCAATGGATCTTCCAATACTAAAGCTGAAGCAGGACGTCGAGACAAGGTGGAATTCAACTTATGACATGTTGGAACGGATACATAATGTTAAAGAAGCCGTCATATCAACCTTATCTTTAACTCGGCCTGATTTATCCATACCATTTGAAGAGTGGGACATAATTAAAGAAATTATCCCGATATTGAAGCCATTTTACCAAATGACTATAGAGATTTCGGCAGAAAAGTCTGTAACATGCTCAAAAGTTTTAGTCCTTTCAAATATACTTGAATATACAATTGCAAATATGTCGTCCAATAATGAAAGTATAAAGAAAATGCTTTCATCTCTACAACAGGATTTGAAATCGAGGTTTGGAGACTATGAAAAAAATTTTCTTTATGCTGAAAGTGCAATTTTGGACCCTCGATTTAAAAGAAAGGCCTTTAAAACTAATTCGTCGTATGAAGTCGCTGTTAGAAATCTGAGGGACAAAATATGCAGCGTGAAATTGTCGAACACTGAAAATATTAGCCCAGCAGTGCAAGAAAGTAATAAGGAAAATGATTGTGAGCCGGATTATTGGAAGTTTTTTGACGATGATTTAAACAGAACAGCAAGGCCAGAGAATAATACTGCAGCCGCAATTAGAGAATTTGACAAATATCTCAATGAAGAATACATCTGTCGAAAAATGAATCCATTACAATGGTGGAATGAAAGGAAAAATATATACCCCCGGGTTTATGTACTTGCTCTGCGACGACTGTGTATTTCAGCAACGTCCGTTCCATGCGAACGGATTTTTTCAGCCACTGGGCAAATAATAAACGACAGACGAACATTATTAAAGTCGTCAAAGGTTAACAAACTCGTCTTCCTCCACAATAATATGTAAAATATGTATATAGTATATATAGAATTTATTTTTTAGAAAATATATCTAGTGTGTTAAACACAATAAGTCTAAGACATAAAAGTATGTACCTCATTTTTTTATAAACATACAATTTACTTTTTTAATTTACTTTTAAGAATAGAGATAAAACCGTGAAATAAAATTTTTAATTTACATATAACAAAAACAGAATTTTTAATTTTAAATGGATTCAAAGTATGGTATATTGGAAAAAATTATATTCAAACGAAAATATAATTTTTAATGTAGTGAGAACAAAAAACAAATTTATATATTTTTTATTTTAAAAAAAGAATTTTAAACAATATCGACTGTTGTTGAAAGTTACAGAATAGACAATTAGCCAAAAATCCCCTCTTTCTCTTTTTTCAAGATTTATTCTTTAAGAGCACTTATATATTAAAATAAAATGTATATTTATAAATTAAATACGCAAATTTTCTATACTATTTACGTGGATCATAATGCTTCCATTTACGATGATTTAATTTATTTATTAAAATTCGTTCGGTTAAATACTTTGAAAGTTTAAGTAGTTCCAAATCGGTTCTACGATTCAAATGAGCCTGACGAAATGGCGGGATACCTAAACCAGAACGTGGATTCATCAGAAAATTACGACGTATATTATCAAACATAATGGTATTGGCAGCGGAATACTGAGGATATTACATACATACATTACACCACGATCTGGTGTATGCACCGAGAACATAGCATGTGAATCTAAATAGAACATTATCTTATAGGCTGGATGGTTGAAAACACCCAGCAGTTTCATTTTCTTTTCAATCCAACGCATTCCAGTGGCCGACCAAGTAGCAATATCATAGTGTTCATAGGCACATGTTAGAAATTTATGTAAATATGGTCGCATTAATTCCGAACCCGATTCGGCAGAAGAACGATGATCAAATAGGGTATAGTCTATATCCAAAACTAATAAATGCTTTCCAGGACGTGGAGGATTAAGTTTGTTTATTGTATAGTCCTTAACGCGATTTTGTATTTCGACAAATAAATTGCGGTATTCTCCAGGGTTTCTTTTTCGTTATCATATTCCAAATCGTCAATGACCTCACCGATATCATCGGGCTTTTGACAGGCATCTTCAATACCAGCTTCCGTGGAGCTCACCATCATTAATTTGAAATTTGGTTTTAGTTCTAAATTTCCCAATTTTAGGCTGGTTTTCCTGCAATAAAAATGATTAATAACCAATTTTCCTTATTACAAGCAATCACCTTACCTTAATATACCAAATAAAGCAATTTTTAGCGATTTTGACGCACCATTGTTCTTTTAAGTATTTCATGACGTAGCACAGCTAGTGTATTCTGATCGGTTAAATTGATTATGGGATACTCTTTGGCACTCCACTTAACCACAATTGTTATTTCCTGGATTTCCGTCATATTCAACGCCGCTTACCGAACTATTTTTGCCAAACAAAACCACAACCAAACATTCGTTTCGCAAAAACTATGTCAATGACAAAAGCGTCGTTTATCGCTTTTAGAATAAATCGGAGCAAAAAAGAAATTAAATTTATTTATTTTTTCTTCCAGTTTTGACTATTGACATAAGAACCAAATTTCTGTGTTTGTTTTTCATTCTTTGTTCAGTATGGAACTATTGGAACTTTGTGAACGAAGAAAATAAAAAGAACGAGAAAGAGATATTCTAATGAACTATCTCGGAGTCGGAACTATATGGAGCGAAGGAACTATATGGAGAAAAGGAACTATATGGAGCAAAGGAACTATATTAAGGAACTAGTTCCTTTCTAAAAAAGGAACGAGAAAGATCGATCCGCTCCGTGAACTAGATTGCCCAACTCTACTTGATGGTATTCAGGCATGTAGACCTGCTACCAAAACTTGTCCAGGTTTTGTTTTTGATGCGTTATTCAACGATAATCCTCTCACCAACTCCGTTGAATTTTTAAATGGGGATTCTTTTACTACTATTACAATTTGTTGATCAATACGAACTGATGTTATTTGGCAGTCTTCTTCCTGAACTGTCAATACTGATATAGTTGAATAAAACCAACTTATTATTCGAGAAATCATGGCTATAGTTTAATATATTGCATTCCCATTGGATAGCAAATGTGCATACCAAAAATGATCGAAATCGGTCCAAATTGATTGTAATTTGGTACATTGAGTTACCATTGAGTAGTAAATCTCCCTACAAAAAATGATCGACATCGGTTCACCTTTGAGAATAGCCTCCAAATTTTTCCATATTATTCGATATTTTGGGGAGTTTGAGCCTGTTATCGAATCAAATTATAATTTTTTTATAATTTTTCCATGATTAAAAGAGAGCATGATGAGGTTAAAAAGTTCTAATGTATATGCCCTGTTACACAACGTCGTGTATTTTCTAATAGGCTTCTTGAAATACATAAAAAATGATATCGAATTGCATAAAACATTATCTTGACGAATGAAACACATTTGCGCCTCGGCGGCTTCTATAACAAGCAAATCAGTCACATTTGAGCCTCGAAAAATGGAGTAGTTATTGTTAGAAAATCTTGTCATTCTCAACGTGTGACAATTGGAAAATTTTGCGGCCTATGTTATATCCTGAAGAGAAATAAAGACAAAGTATACGTCCACAGACATAGCTATATATTTAAATCCACGACTTATGGCTAATAAGAGCTTATATTTGCAACGATTAAAAATGTGTACTTCGGCACAACAATTGTAGATGCCACGTGTCGTTTGTTGGTAACCTACATATTATTATTATTCGGAGTCTTTTTAATGTACGGATTTATAAAAGTAGTAAATCCCTTTTTCCATTCGTGAAGCTATATTAAAGTTATAAAAGACTTGTGTGATTTCACACAGATAATAAATACCGCTATAAATTTTGACACTTACCGTCAATTTAGGCTCGTACGGGTAGCTGTTCCATAGCATTCCATTGGTAAGTATTTCTTTAAGGTTGCCTTTTACAAAGAGACTAAAATCGCCAGTTTTATCGATTAGAGTGTTATGACTGGGAATCCACGTGGGAAGAACTTTTGTGAGACAGATAGAATTCTATCTATTAAAAATACATTCAAAGCGCCGCTACAGCTTATTATTGTCACCTTCCGCATAATCCTTATTCTCGCAACCTATCAAAAATCATTCGGCTTATATCTCCTCAAAGTAATAATTTCGTCCATTCTTAAACGATATGTCCATGTCCGCACATATTTTTTGATCACGTCACCTGTAAATACGAAAAACAAATATTTTATTTATTTATTGTAATTTTAGTGCGTTAAAAGCGAAGCGATAATTTTCAATTAAATGCTTCGGAAAACGCATTCAAACGCCTTTATGCGAAAATCATTACATCTCCCATAAAAATACCCTTCTATACCTATATGTTTTATTATGTGGGTTCTCATACATAAATACTGGAGTCTGTTCCCGTATTGCAATAATCTACTCAATTTTATTATATTCCATACCATAAATGAAAATTCGTCATCGTTGTAAAAAGTAGAGGATTCTTGCAGTACGAGAACATACCATTATAAAGGGATAATCGAAAATAATTTCGACTAGTAGAATATTCTTGCAAGTTCTGGAACAGAGCGATTGTTAGATTTGCCGTTCGTAGCGACATCTGTTATTGAATAGTAGTGTATAAATATAGTATTGCCAACGTAATTGCGAATCTGTCTACTTTGGAGAAAATGAGGTGTTGCCACATTAACAATTCTTCAATATGACAATATAGTATTGCCACATAAAACATCAGTTGGAGAGAATCACTATTGCCACAAGAGGAAGTTTAATGAATTGGTAACGGAACTTATTTTTGAATTAAGTGTTACCACACCACCTTAATGTGAATTTTTGGGCGATTTGTCAAATCCACCCGTTGCCTTAGTAACAAAAATAAAAAAAAAATTACACCTGACATGCAACTTGTTTTGTACTAGAAGTGTATTTCATTTTTCTATTAAAATCGCGTTTCACATGCTGCTACAAAAAATGGAAGATATACCGAATTCCGCCGATCCCAATAATTTACCATTGCTCAACTTTCAATCGGATGATCTGTTGGAAAAACTAAAGTTACTAAATTACGAAAAGAATTTGCTAAGTGAATTAAAAATGAAGCCGCTGTCACGTTTCTATTTCGTTAAATCGACCAACCCTGGGGAACAGTTTTTCATGTTTACCATCATCTGTTGGTGGTTGTGTCAAAAGTTGGGCAAGACACTGCAACGGCCACAGGAATATGATGATCCCAATGATGTTATAAATCGCATAATTGGAGTTCTCGAAGAAATGGACGTGACCATTGATTTTGCACCGACAAAATTAATACGTGGCGCGGGGCACCAGTGTATTTATGTTTTGGACACATTGGCCACACAGGCCATTAAAGTTATGAAAATGTCCTGTCAACGTTTACACATCGCCCAAGAGGATGAGGTGGCCAATGATTATTTGGAAGATAATGCGGAGATTATTTTGGAACGTATCGAGGATGAACAGAATGAGGCAATGAGTGATGATGATAATAGTGAATTGGATTTAAATCAAAATTCACTGAGGCAATGGAGTCAAAGGAAGAGGAATACTCATCAGGCGAATCAACTACTGGATAATGAGGGAAATAGTTTACAGGTGACAGATAAGTTGACAGATCAACAGTCATGGCGTTTGGAATTTGAACAAGTTCTGCCACACCTAAAAGTGTATGTGAGAAGTGATGTGCGGGACTGGAGGGCACATATGAATCAAATGGATTCGTTGAAGTCGAGTATAACAGAGGTTTGATTTAAATGATATTTTTGCTGTGGAAATTTAATTTCTAAAATATTTTTCCTATATTTCTAGGCCACCGAAAGTACCCAACTGGAGTTGAAGAAACTCCACAATGAATTCACCTTCACTTTAGAGAAAATTGAGAGTCGTGAAAAACACTTAAATAATGAGCTGCATAATTTAATAACCCAATATAAGGATGTCTCCATTGAATTGTCGAACATCCAATATGCCCATAATCAGGTGTTGGAAGAGACTGAGCGTTCTGTGGATCAGTTGAAATCTGTGATAGCTGAAAATGACAACAAGAAGGCGGAAATGGAAAGGAGAGGGCAAATGATGTCGGATAGTAGTAAGTTTCAGATTTTTGTTCTAAGGAAATCCTGTATAGAACACTCTATAGGAGGTTTTCTGTCGAAGTGGTCCTCTATAGAATATATAAATACTTCTCCTTTTATTAAATAGAAGAATTGTCTTTGAAAAATTAATTTTTAAAAATCCAATCCCATAATGGACCTTGAAAGAACTATTTTAAAAAAAAATGTTAGACCTTAAAAAAATAAGTTAAAAAATCCTTTGGTGGAACTTAACAAAAATAATTGTAAAAACTGACTATATGATACCCTTCACCACTTTCGGTATATTCAACAGATGTATCTAGATGTCACATTTTTGAAGGACCAGTAAAATGAAACTGGATCCATAAACATGTCATTCTGCAACCTATACTAAAATTTTCATTTGGCCAGATAAAGAGTTGCTACTTACAATGGGACAAAATTATGTAAAGCAATTTACAGCAATCGGACACCCGTTGATAATATCGATAAATATCTGATAAACATGAGGAGTTTGGTGCACCATTTACATAAAATCGGACGAAAATATATATGGGAGCTATATCTAAATCTGGACCGATTTTCAGGAAACTTAATACACATCATTCTAGACCTAATTCATTACGCTGTTCCAAATTTCGTCCAAATCGAAAGATATATAGGGCCTTCGGTGCACCATTTACATAAAATCGGACGAAACTATATATGGGAGCTATATCTAAATCTCGATTTTCAGGAAACTTAACACACATCATTCTAGACCTAATCATTAAGCTGTGCCAAATTTTGTGCAAAAATATATATTTTAAAGATCGGACGCCTATATAGGAGCTATAAAAAAATTATTTTAACTTAACACACATCCACGCCTGCCAAATAGATATATAGGTGCACCATTTACCGAAAACATTATATTTTAAAAATCCGATTTTCTTCAATTTCAATAGGGTTCGTCCTTGGGCCAAAAAAAATGAGCTGTGCCAAATTTCATGCAAATCGAATCATAAATGCGACCTGTACTTTGTTAACAAAAATACATGGACAGACGGGCGGACAGCCGTACATGCGTAAATCGACTAAGAAAGTGATTCTATGCACCAACTACGCCTTTGGTGGAACTTGAAAAAAATAATTTCAAAAATCCACGCCTTTGATGGACCTTGAAAAAATTTATTTTTAAAATCCACCCCAGTGAGCAGTAAAGTCGGATGGGGCCGACCATACACAACTACCACTACACTGTAACATTCTGCGGATTTTTATTTACAACCTGAGCCTGAGGGCAATATTACTGATAGTTTCTAATATTCTGCTAATTACTTGTCCATATTCCCTTTACCGTGGGTTGTGTTGTGATGTAAGCAATTGTGGCCTATAGATCGACTCGAAAAAACACAAAAAATTAAGTTGTCGGTGCACTTCATCCCAAAATTATTATCTGATCATCGCCGAAAATTATAGGCGTTGTCCTTGACCATAACTGGAACCTCATGGAACATTTCAAAGCGATCAGCCCTATATTTCCGAACTCCAGTGTGGTAATGGGTTACTAAATACTACTACTAAATAATATCTGAATACGCACCTGTAAATATTTAAGTCTAACTCCCACATCCGAGTTCATCGGACAATATAATTGGTATCAATTTAAAGGCCAACCACTCCTCTTGGATATACTTTCAACTTATCGGGTCTATGTCCTTCAGGAGTAAATATATACGCTATAAAATAAAAATTTTGTTATTTTTCAGACAAAAGTCAGGGTCTATATGACCCGCTAAATATTGACCGATCATTATCAAACCAGCTGTGCTTATTCTTTGGCTCGATCCCCATATCAATGTAAAAATTCGCGATGTTTGGGCCAAATTGTCTCTGGAGCGACCAGAAAAACTATCAAAAATTAAGTATTTGGTCCATTTCATCCCCTAAATATTAACCGATCTTTACCAAAAACAACTGTGGTCTTCATTGGGCCAAACCCATCCTACATGCAAAATTTCGTAAAGATTGGTCCATAACAGTGGCCTGTATCGTGGACGGACGGACACACATATCTAGATCGACTCAGGTAGTCGAGATATGACGATCGGTATACTTAAAGGTGGTTCTGGGCGTTACAAACTCTTGGGGCTGCACAAAGTTATAATACCCTGACAACATAGTTGTGTAGGGTATAAAAATCCATAGCCATGGTGTACCTTAAAAACATTAATTTTAAAAATCCACACCTTTGGTGGACCTTGAAAAAAATTATTTTAAAAATCCATTCCTTTGCTGGACCTTGCAAAAACTTAATTTTAAAGATCCACATCTTTTGTGAGGTAGTCTCTGAAAAAAATAATTTTAAAGATCCTCGCCTATGGTAGTCTCTGAAAAATTAATTTTAGAAAATCCACGTCTATAATAGGTCTTGAAAAAATTGATTTAAATAATCTCCGCCTATAGTAGGTCTCGAAAAAATTGTTTTTTCAAATAATTTCATTTAATTTAAATATTATTCATATTATCTCTAAATTATTCCATTTATTTCTTGTTTCCAGGTTTCGTAATGACCATCAAGAAAGCTGTGGCCAAACTCAAAGACGATGTGGCCCATTTGAATTTGGAAGTGGCCCTGTTGGTTAATGGCATTGATCGTGATATACTAAAGCATACTGGACCTTCTGTGGAAATTGAAAAATTTTAAAAATATATCAAAACCATTAAATAAATTTGCCGATCCCCCTCTCCCAACAACAATAATGGTTTCAATTTGTTATCACCTTACATTCCGACACACCAGACAGCGAACAATGACAATTCACGCCCTCAACAAGACACCAAACACAGCCACTTTCCCACACCCAAAGAACAATTCCATTTAATTATTATTATTTTTTTCATATCAATTTGTTATTGTTGTTGTTGCAACAATATTCAATGGTGATGTTCCACAATCAACATGCTTTGTGTGTTACAAAGAGGAATTCCCACATAGGGTGCTGGGCTGGGATGGCTGGTTGGTTGGGAAACATTGTTCTAAATGGCTTTTATGCATGGTAGTGTGTTGGTGTGTGTGTGTGTGTGAGGGAATGGTGTTTATGGTTTTGATCTTGAGAAATGTGACCCAATAAAAACCTCAAATCAGGCACAGACCACACAATGAGTATTGACTTGTTTGATGAGGACACACTCACTCAATGATGCTGCTTGGCGATGATGATGATGTTGTTGTTGGTGATTTTACACTATCCCCCTGAGAAATAAAAACAAGCGACAAGCAAAGAAGACAAGACACCAATAAAATGATGATGCCACTACCACCACCACCACGACAGCCGCCACACATTCCAACATCCTTAATATAATCTACAAATGAAATCTTAGCAAATGTGCGGCATGCATGCAGGCAATGCCGCCATGGCCATGGTCATCACCATCGCCGCCACCACCACCACCGCCATCATTACCATCATTTACTAATGGAGTTGTTATTTAAGAAATGTAAACAAATATTTTATTTTATTTGTCTGTCATTTAATAAAGACACGATCGATGCATGCGATCGTATTAAAAACCGAGACGAAGAAGAAAAACATGATGACAATATTAACCAATTATTTCCCTAATATACAAAAAGACAACAAATAGATAACCAAAAGGATCCCACTCACAGCCAGGCCAGGCTTGAAATTCCAGCTTGCGTTGAGTCACTTCTGTGTGTGTGTGGGCATCTTTGTCCTGACTGACCCAGTGTTTAATATTCTGACTAGGTTGGATAATTAGACTATCTACAGATTATCAGCATTTCACACCATCCCGACTCAGGGACACACACACACACAACACAAATGGCATGAATTAATTTTGTGTTTTTGAAAACAAGGAGGGTTCCTCCGTTGAGGATGTGAATGTTTACACAATTGCCTATCTCGTATGGTCATCTTCTCTTAATGGGTCCTTTTTTGTTTGAGTTACTCAATTAGCTAAGTAATTAATCTAATTTAATAAGGTAAATAGAATGGCAGGTGCAATTGGACAAACCAACACCAAGGTGGATGAGGAGAAATTCTTTTGGATTCTTCCTTAGAAGACCAACAAATATTTTCTGAATATTATATTATTTTCGAATTCTATAGGCGTGGATTTTTCAAATTATTTTTTTTAGGGTCCAACAAAGGCGTGGATTTTTAAAATAATTTTTTCAACATCCACCAGAGTCTTGGATTTTTAAAATAAATCTTTGCAATGTCCTCCAAAGGCGTGGATTTTTGAAATTTAATTTTTTCAATGTCCACCAAAGGCGGGGATTTTTAACCCTACACAACTATGTTGTCAGGGTATTATAGCTTTGTGCAGCCCCAAGAGTTTGTAACGCCGCAAAATATTGATCGTCATATCTCGACAAGCTGAGTCGATCTAGACATTTGTGTCCGTCCGTCCTTCTGTCCGTCTATCCATTATTATTTGTAAACACGATACAGGCCACAGTTATGGACCAATCTTCACGAAATTTTGCATGAAGGTTGGGTTCTGCCCAATGAAGACCCCTATTGTTTTTGTGGTAAAGATCGGTTTTTGTGGTAAAGATCGGTTAATATTTAGGGATGAAATGGACCAACAACATTATCTATTTCTGGTCGACGCAATTATTTGCGAATTTTTACATAGAGAAGGGGATCGGGCCAAAGAATAAGCATGCCTGTTTTGATAAAGGTCGGTCAATATTTAGCGGGTCAAATAAACCCTAAATTTTCTGTGAAAATTTACAAAATTTGCATTCTATGGCGTATATATTTACCCCTGAAGGACCCAAGAAGTTGATAGTATATCCAAGAGGAGTGGTTGACCTATAAAATGATACCAATTATATTGTCGTATGTATGTGGGAGTTTCACATAAATATTTACAGGTTCCTAAGTATTCATATATTATTTAGTAACCCATTGCCACTCTAGAGGCCGGAAATATAAAAAAATGTTCCCTGAGGTTCCAATTAAGGACAACACCTATAATTTTCGGTGAAGATCAACTAATAATTTTGGGATGAAGTGGACCGATAACTTCATTTTGTTTGTGTTTTTTTAGAGCCGATCTATAGGTCACAATTATAAGCCGAACTTCACAACACAACCCACGGTGAAAGGAATATGGAATGAATATTAGTAACATTCGAAAAATATGTCAGTGTAAGGAAGAGGTGCTGTTGACCTCTAATCGGGCAAGAGGGTGCAACTATTACGAAATATTGCCCAGGCTCGGAATAAAAATCCGCAGAAAGTTAGAGTTCCGTGGTAGTTATGTAGGGTATCATATGGCTCTCCCCGTCCGACTATACTGCTCCGCTCACTGGTTTAAATAATGTTTTTTAAAAATATTTTTTTTTGCCTATCGGAAGCGTAGAGTTTAAGGCCTAGAGTAAACGTGGATTTTTTAAAAAAAATATTTTTTCAATGCCTATTACAATTTTCCCAAAATTAATTTCTCAAGGACCATTAATTAATTTCTCAGGAACGAACGGACTTGTACTTCTTAAAAATTAATTTTTCAAGGACCATCATTTTTTTTTTTTAACTAAACACATATTTTTCATAGGCCACAGAAAGGTTGATTTTTCAAAAAAATATTTTACAATGACAGAAAAGGGTATGGATTTCTGCATTTAATTTTTCAAAAAACAGACTTAGGTGTGGATTAAAAAAAAATTAACAAATACATTTTAAAGTAATTCTTTTTTCAGATTCAACACAGTTTTGGATATTTTTTAATTATTTTAGAATTAGAATTAAATTAATTTTTTTCAGACGCTATCATTTAATTTTTAATTACTTTTTTCAATTACTTTTAAATTTAAATTAATTTAAATTTTGTATTTTAAGTCATAAAATGAAATTGTTTTTTATTTGTTGGAATAGGCATATCATAATGTAGATTGTTTTAAGGATTCATTCTTCTGGGGCATTACAAAATATATTTATATAACGCATGTTTCTCATCCATGTAACTGATGTTGGTATACACCTAGTGGCTAAAAATCAAACATACATTCACCCTCCCCTCCAAAAAAGAAAACAAATATGTCATAATTTCCATTTTTTCTTTTCGAAAAAAAATACATTAATATCCTTAATATCCCAAAAATTCTTATCTATAATTCAAACCTTGTTAAATAGGCACGTTTACATACATAATAATCATTTCATAATCGTTCGAATACCACAAACAAAAAAAATGCTCATTTTCCAATTAACCAAAATACTCCTCAAATATTCAATAAAAAAATAAAACGAACTAGGAAATTTAATTTGTTTTTAAGCCAATGGGTAATTATCACCTCTTTGTTATCTGTGGCACTGGGTAAATATTGGTTGGCGGGCAAACCATCATTCAGTCGTTCGGCCAGCCAACCGATCAACAAAACCACCAAACATTTTTTTATGATCATTTTATTGTTTACACGATGAAAATTTCATTGGTTGGTGTTGTTGTAAAATTTTCAAACCGTTTAAGCGCATTACAAACAAATTAAGGCAATCAAAATCCGATGTGTTTGTTTTGGATAAGTGAGAGTGTGTTCAGTGGTGTGCGTGTGTATGCGTGTGAGTGTGTGTGGGTATTCTATTCTCAATGGTGATAATTATTATTTTTATTGTAATGGTGATCCTTATTTTCACCAAAAAAAGGAAACCTCTTTTGGTTTGCTAAGGTTATTGCCGGTTATGGTGTGGTTATGTCTAAATCTGCTGTTGCGTGGAGCGCGTACGCATGTCACACCAACCGAACCAATATAAACAAATAATAAATGATTTTTCTCCCTCTTGTTGTTGTTCCTAGTGTTGCTTAAATATTCACTCGCATGTCTAATGGGATTGGGAAGAAAAAGGAAGATAACAACTTGCAGCCGAGAGTAAATATTGCATTAATAAAGTAACCAACCAACGAAGCAGCCGGCTGGCAAGGATCATGTGCAACAGTCACACAAACATTGGTCGATGATGTGAAATTTGTTATCGATGAACAATGAAAACCAGCGAACAAACAACAAAAACAAAAACTGATCATCACAACGCATCCTCACAATCATCATCATCATCGGCATCCGAAGAATAATTTCCATCCTACGCATCACGTTCGGAGATGCGTCTGGCAGGCTGGTTGCCTGACAGACAGACTGAATGAATACCAGAATATTTACATACCGCAAACATAAGCATGATCACCATCATCATCATCATCACCACCAGCCACATCACATTTTCCGAACAGACACTCACACACATACCATCCCATACCATGCACACTTGTATTATTTAGTTTCCTTACACATGTCTTGGATCATCTTCCTTTTTTTCTGAAGTCTGTTCCGATATCTCTCTTTAGCGTTGCATATTGGGATTTTGATGTTGCATCAACATCAATCGCATCTTCTTCTTTGTTTTTTTTTTTGTTTACTCATTGTCTTGTGGTGATAATATTCTCCTTTTAAAAACAATCAATGTGAAAATTTTCTTTTTAATGGTTTAACCCACAGTCAATACAGGGTCCTGAGTCCTTTATTTACATATCTTGAAGGAATTGATACGGAAAATCTGTTACAATTTTTCGTTAAATTCTAAAATTTCCATCAAGCTTTATTAAAAAAAAAATATGGGTATGCTAACAGAAGGGTCATTTACATGAAATTGGATGAACTAAAATATGTGACCT